TTGACGTGACATGGGCTGTCTCTCTTCAGGTATCAAAATGGCAGATGCTCGGTGCGGTTTGAGCTCTTTAGCATAGCATTTGTCACACGAAGCTTTTAATAAAAAAATCAGTAAACAAGTTCTCGGCTGCTTTTTTCAGAGAAAAACAACTTTTTACACGAAGGCACGGGTTTCAACCGTGAATTTTGGAGCTTCGACAAGACGGAGGTGTTTTCCCGAGGCCGTCCTGTTAGCTTAGCTCGTAGATTAGCTTCTCAGCTTAACTGCTTTTAACGATCCAAAAACGCGATTTTGGATCGTTAAAACAGATTTTAAAGAGAAAAAGGAAAGGGAGGGGTCAGTGAAGAAAGGGAGGGGTCAGTGAAGAAAGGGAGGGGTCAGTGAAGAGAGGGAGGGGTCAGTGAAGAGCACCGGAGTTGAGCCCAACATTTTTCAGTCAGGCCATCTGGACAGTTTCTTTTTTTGTGCTGAAACGTTTCTCCTTCGATCCAGAAGGCTTCATCAGTCAAGGAAACACACAACAAAACTGATTCTTCCCCCAACAGTTTACTCCAAAGTGGAACAAATCAGTTCTGCTTGTGATAAGATGGTCTCTTTGGTACGCCCCTCCTCCATTGCCGGCCCTCTTCCTTGTTGACAGTCATGTCAAACTGGTTGAAAACAACAAAGTCCATGCTCAATAATCCAGGTATAAAATCCGGAGTTCAGCCTTTTGTCATCCAGTGTCTTCAGTAGAAAGAGAAACAAACAAAAGATGAAGCCGATAAATGAAAACGAGGTCGATAATTTTCATTTATCATGCGATTAATTGATTTATTGTTTATCATGGCCTAATCTGGACCACAAAAACTACATCTGGACCCAAAAAACTACACCTGGACCACAAAACCTGCATGTAGTCTACACAGAAACTTTATGTGGACCACCACACCTGGATCGTAGAAACTTAGATGCAAAATGAACTGTTGTGTATATATATATATATATATATACTAGATCTCTACAGATATTAATCAGAGCTTTATCACATTCAGACACCGATGGACACACATCGGAGGCAGCGAGGGGTTCAGTGTCTTGCCCAGGGACACTTCACTATGTGACTGCTGGTGGAATCGAACCCCCGACTCTTGCATTGGAGGACCACTGCTCCTAACCGCTCAGCCACAGCCGCCCCCCTAAAACGAAATGGTCTGCAACGGGTTTCTTACACAAACACATACGTTTCATTGCACAAACTGGAACAGGCTCGGTTTGTTTCAGGCGCAGGATCCTCCTGGAACCCACTGCCCTGAAGCAAAACACGTCAAGGCTGTCTGTGGAGCTGACGGCGTTCTGACCTTCGCCTCTGATTGAAGCGCCCGTGTTGTGGCTCCGGCCGGCGCCTCGTCAGTGTTTTTTGATAACACCAGCGCACGTCGAGCGTTCCCTCGGTTCGTTTCCTTACCGGTCGTGTAGTTTTATTCTTTCTGAGACGGCAGGTCCACGTTCCACACGGCTCCCACACAAACCAAACCCAGTGAACAAACACGAGAGAAAACCCGTTAGCCGCAAGCGCTCCGGTTCTTTCATGCTCACACTCTACAGGATCTACAGGATCTAAAGGATCTAAAGGATCAACATGGAGGGAGATGTACGAGGTTCAACGCCGGTTTCAAGTTAGAAACAGTTGATTCCTCTGACGTGGAAGTACTTTGAGTCCAGGACTCTGATGTACTTTGTACGTATTTTCAGAAACTTTATTGTTTCAGAGAAAACTGCAAGAAACTAAAACAAACCAACACTAAGGAGTCAGTAGGTTTTTCCGTGCTTGCGCCGGTAAATTGCACATCAAGATTTCGGGAAAACTACCGGAGTGAACTCGTTCACAACTTTTACCAACGTCAGGTTAACATTTGATATGTTTAATAAACTGTAACGGTCACATTTACATGGCTCTATTAAACAAATAACGGATCTGAGGCAGCGCGTAGTCCACATTTTTATAGTGGGTATACCACGGTGGAGTTAGTTTGACGTAAAACTGACTCCACCGCAGCTGGTCCGTATACTGGGCTTAGAAACCAAAGTACACTGGTTGGTACTTGCAATCGTCCGTTTTGAGTTTTAAGCATATTGAATACTTCCTAATTTCTCTGACGCTTATATTTGAATAAATGAACAACAGCAGGCGGCTCTGTATTAAAAACACGTTGCAGAATTTGTAAAACAGCATCAAAGCAAAACATGTTCAAGTATAAGTACATAATTAATACTGTAATTATACAGTAATTTGCTGGATAAGTGACTGTAATGTAATAGATTGTTACGGAAGCGTTCAACACGTCAGTGACACGTGTCTGATATGTCGTGTATCATTTAAAGTGAGTGGACTGAAATTCTTCTGGTGGTCTGCTCCGTCTCACGTAGACCACACCACTAAGGGCCTGCACCAAACTGGTCTGACTGGTTAAACTGGTCTCATTTGTTTGTGACTGGAATAATGGATTTGGAAAATCAACAGGACAGATCCTGAACACACCTCTGGTTCTGGGTCCAGTTCATGAACCCACCAGTCGGATTAACTCACCTTCAAGTGTTTAACTTCCAGTAAATGATTAATTTATTGACGTTAAATGGACAGATGGGAAACGGACCGTAGTTTTATCACGTTCAGACACAGATGGGTCACACTATGGGGGG